CACACACACACACACACACACACACACACACACACACACACACACACGCACACACACACACACACACACACACACAGAGAGAGAGACTCTGCTGCTTACTGGCAAACAAATTTACAATTCAATTTGTCTTTGCATTGGTTTTGTGTGATTCTGCTGAGATGAACAGTCACAATCAATAAACCCTTTGAACACCTGCAGGATTGTGTGCAGAATGCATTATTTTATACGAATAAAACAAGGAGAGGAGAGAGGAGGAGAGGAGAGGAGAGGAGAGGAGAGGAGAGAGGAGGAGAGGAGAGGAGAGAGGAGGAGAGGAGAGGAGAGAGGAGAGGAGGAGAGGCAGTAAGTAGAGCTGGTAAAAATGTGAATAGTTAAATATTTCGACAGCACGTGGAGCCTCATTTTTTTCCAACATCGGTCATTCTTGTGATTTAGTAATTCCATTGATTTCCAATTTTTGTAAAAGAAATTATCAAAGAAATTCAACTTGGGTTTTTTTATGATTCATGTCATCATAACTGTTATTCTGCACTAAAGACATGTTCTAGTTCTCTCTCTCTAATGGTGACGGTTCTGTTTCCATAGAGGAGCAGAACTTTAATATCACAGAGAACAACGAGGCCTCAGAGGGAAGAACAAGCCCAAACCTGCACTTCAGAGGGTTCAGGAAGATATTTAATGTGTTAAGTTAAGTTTGATTGACTTCCAGCAAACACACATCATTTCCTGTTAGTGTAACGTGGGAAAATACACCAATTTATTGTCTATTAGCAAAAGAAATACCAGTAGAGCACGACAACAAGTGTGTATCGGATACTCAATACAATCTAACACAACACAACACGCTGCTAACAACACTCTGCATGAGCAGTTCATTCAGTCTTGAACGCATCACAAGAACAAAAACCCATTCATTCAACTACTCGATGGAAGTGTAAAGCGCTTTATGCACATTATATAACACACACACACACTCACAGACACACACACACACACTCTCACACAGCATCCATCTGAATAGCTTGTGAGCACACTTAAAGATGGTAATCGTTATAATTGCTCAAGCTGTTGACTTGTGCACACACATTAGTGGAGTGCCGTCATGTGTATCGGTGCTCTTGCCCCCTGGTGTTGAACAGTGTAAATGTATGTCTGCTGTTCATTAGTTGTCAGTATATTGTGACTCTGCTATTCTCTGCGTCGCTGTCACAACAGTGAATCACAGCGCGTACGAGGAGCTCTGAAGCAGCAGTTGTGTTCATGGGAGAAGAAACGACAACAGAGAAATAAGAGGCTGAACAAATGTTACTCACACAAAGTATAGAGTCCATGAAAACCTCCACGTCCTCCAGAAAGACTTCAGTTACCTCCATTGCATTCCTCAACAACAATATAAATCACCTAAATCACTGTTAATGCTTCTTTCTTTACAGGGTTTAAAGGCAATAACGTAGTCCATGAATATGAGATATGAGCGTAAAGTTAATCACAATCCCTCCTCTCTGTAGTGGAGGTTGGTTTATGACTCTACACCTGCAGTCTATCGTCATATCTCTGAGTCACACTCGTCTCTTTGATTGTTTGTCCTCTGGTGTTTGGTAGAATCATGCAGCTCATTGAGTACAAACGCCTCCGTTCATGCTCGGAGGTCGCTCGCCGTCTGCAGAGGCTCACTCATGGAGGGCTTACTCGTGGAGGGCTCACGCGTGGAGGCTCACGCGTGGAGGCTCACTCGTGGAGGCTCACTCGTGGAGGCTCACTCGTGGAGGCTCACGCGTGGAGGCTCACTCGTGGAGGCTCACTCGTGGAGGCTCACGCGTGGAGGCTCACGCGTGGAGGTTGGGGGCAGACCGGGGGGGCGGTACTTATTTGTCATGTAACTTCCATATTTAAGTAACGCCCCTTCCATCGATATTTCAACCCAAACACGATCTTTTCCTAAACCTCAGGAAGGTCAGGAGGTCATGCAGGCGCAGATATTATAACAGCCGTAACCACACATGGCTTTAGGTGTCCACATACTTTTAGATAAATAGTGTTTTGTACTTTCTGGCTTTAAAGCTGAGACAAGTACAGCTCTTGAAAAGCTTACCTTACATCTTACCTGACACACGTCTGAAATGTCCCGATGCATTGAACGCACCTCTCTGAAGGCACATCAGATGAGAACAAGCTCTGAGGATTGTGCTCTTCTAGCTTCCGCCGGTTATTTGTCAAGTCTAAAAGTACCGCTGAGAAAGAAATGTCCAAAACACAGCAAACAATCTGACTCTCTCACAGGGTCAGAGGATGTCAGACTCGTTCTTACTTTGTAATCTTCTTGCTCTCCTTTCTTGTGCAGACAGTCTGCTGGTTGAACTCTGTGCTGTGTGTTTGTATTGAGGGCATCTCTGTGAGTTGATGTGCTGCAAATAAATTCAAGTTTAAATGAATGTAAATGTTATCGCAAATTACATTCCGGGTTGTTCAGTAATAGAAAATCGAGTGTAAATTGAACAATAGTCAACATAAGCATAACTGGGTTTTTACATATTTACTGTAAATGAGAATCAGTTTAAATGACTGCAGATCAAACTGCTCGAGTCAGATTGTTTAAATGAACCAAAGCGGATGAATTGAATAATAACGTTTTTTACTTTCATAATTGCGTCCATTAAAAGAGGTGAACTCCAGAACTACAAACAGGTTTAACTTTAGTCATTCACTTCATCACTTCTTTTCCTTTTCATTTGTTTCTACTCGGGACATCCCGTCTAATTCTGTGGGACACGTTCGTTCACAACAGACTTCACTTGCACAGCTTCGCTTGGCTTTTTTATTTATTTATTTTTATGAGTCAAAATGGGCAAAAAAAACCCGAAAGAGAGTTGATTGCCTCAATTACAGCTCCAGTCATCTGCTGTAATTGGGTCCAATCTGGGAGTTTCTCGTTTCTCCTCGCTGCCAAATCCTTTTTCAAGTAGACAGGAAGGGAAGGGGGGGGGCATAGGCAGCTGGGAGGGGAAGTGATGAAACGGGTCGATGGGAAGCGTCTGGCCGGGAAAACATCAACCGACGGTCGTTAACACTTGAGAAACTCGTAACTTCAATTTTCCGTTTTTATCTTGTTTTTGTTGTTTTGTGTGAATTTGCAGATTTACGTGCCGACAAAATGTTACGAGCTGTAGGACACAAAATGAAAAAAAGAAATCTATGTAATTCCAAGAGTCATTTTCCCAACAAAAAAACCCGACTGTCAGAAAGTGAAGGTTGTGTTTGTAAGTGTGAGACGTTTGACAGCAGATGGTCGTTATCACAGTTCACTGCTGCCAGCTGGAGACACCAGAACTCACCGATGTTCAACTTTATGCTTTGAATCTAAAGTTTGTGTTGTTGATGAGTGAAAGTGTAAATTCAGTTCAAAGTACGAAAGCACGAACAGAAGCAGTCCTCATTGACAAACGGAATTAGAGACATTTGCATCAATCTGCAAAATCATTTTGAGTCACAACATATGTTACGTTGTTTTTGTTTACTTTTAGATTTTTTTATTTGAACACATAAACAGCTTATAACCAGATAATAGGGAAAATAAAAGACGTGACAGCCGTACACATGAGCATACACCTGAGCAGGAGAGAGAATTTTGGGGTTTTCCTTTTGATTTCAACACAATCAGCAGAATTTATGTCTTGAGCAGCATCTAGTGGCCACTATGGGAACTGCAGCTTAACATATTGACTAACTTTCAGCTGAAGGAGAGTTTTTGAGTGTAAAAATGAAGTGAAAACTTGCATTTTGATTGTTATTCATCAATATTTTATGTTCCAGAGAAACAACTTTTGATACTTAAGATTTGAAACTAAGCTTTGATTTCATTGTTAAACTTTACTTTTTGAATATTGGAAGAGATTCTAACTACAGGTTCTTCTCTGGTAGTTCCTGTGAGTCCACGATGACGCACACAGACTCACAAGGTGTAAGAGACGCTGCCGCAGCTGCTGATTAATTCTGAGTGACACATAATTAATAACGGAGGGATTTTGTTTGTGTGTGTTTTCAGGGCCGTAAACCAGGTTACTTCTCCTTCCTGGATCCGTTCTCGCCGGCTGTCTGGCTCTTCATGCTGTTGGCCTACCTCGCCGTCAGCTGCGTCCTCTTCCTCGCCGCCAGGTAACCCGCCTGCCTCATGTGTGTGTGTGTGTGTGTGTGTGTGTGTCTGTGTGTTGACTAAAGTATGTTCTATTCATAAAGACTCAACACTAGCTGTCCACACCTATAAATAACAGAAAATCCGTTTTTATTTCTGTGTCCTGAGTGTTGGGTGTTAGAGGAGAGGCGGAGGGTTTGCTTAGAGTGACGTGCGACACTAAGTAAGTCTTTGTCTTTGTAACAAAACACTATTTATTTATGTATTTATTTATTTTACCTTTATTTAACCAGATAAGTCAGTTGAGAAGCAGTTGTCTTTTACAATGATGACCAACAGGAAGCAAGTCGTTACAAACCAATAAAACATAGAAACATCTCATACAAAATAACAACGTCATAATATTATATTTTATGATGTATATTAACAATATATAAAAACAAACAAACTCAGAAACAGTTGCAATCGTTTGTCAACTGTTTTACACTCCGGGCAAGAATCTAAACACAGTTACAGTTCAGTGTTGTTTCCTTTTGTTTATGATAATAATAACTATACGTTGTCTTCATAGAGAGCTTCTCAGAGTACTTCATGACACTTTACGTCAGTTCAAATGACCATAAAGTATAAATTGATCCGCCTCTTTCACCTCTTCTTCTGTTTCTTACCTCAACAATCCAACCGTCTGTCATAAAGACAATAAACTCTGTTTATTGTCTTTTCAAAGCATCATTTAATCATCTTAATAGTACACGTACTAGCGGAGTAAATGTGCTTCATAGCGGTGCAGTCAGTTCACCAATAACTGTGTTGTGCTGTTATCTGGAGGGTAACAGATTTTAAAATCCTTATAGAGTGCGTTATGTTCTGGAGTGAGGTTTGTTGCTGCTCATAAGAAAGTGTTTCATTTCATTTCATAGTAGAAGATAAGGTGGTTCACGAGTGTGTGTGTGTGTGTGTGTCTC